AAACCTCCAGGTGTCGGGAAATGAGCTCGTACATCCCATCTCACTGACGATCACCCGGAGGACATACTGTCAATGGTTCGTATAAATATATGAGTTGACTAAAATACAATTAAGTCAACACTCGCAAGTATACTACAATGTAAAAGAATCTCACCATAGTGTGTGTTTACCAGATCCAGTTTGACCGTAAGCGAATACACACACATTATAACCATCCATTACAGATCGAACAAGAGGCTGTGTATCCACGAACACCTCATCTGAAAAATCAAATCGAATTATCGAATAAAGCGAATCTAAAATCAAGATTGTTTTTTTTTTTAAATGTATGATAATTTTACAGTTACCTTGAGTGGCTGTTGGACCGAAAACACGGTTAAATTGGAATATTCTCTTGGCATCTTTTAGAGGATTCGGGTCCATAACCACTAGAGAGCCGTCTTTTCCGATAAAATCAACAACATTTTGTACCTTGGAACTAAACACAGGTCTAATCCTGCAATAAACTCGAATATTTCCTGAAAAAAAAACGAAAGATTTATTTATTTTTTCGTATTTTTTCACTTAACCGGACTATACTTTGTTATTTACGAAACTAACCTTTCAAATCCTGAACCATGTTGTAGAGATTTCGATTCTCTTTTACAGCTTTGTGATAGCCAAGAGCAGCAGTTGACATTTCAAGCACTTGATCTCCTGAGAGATTAAGACATATTTACGATTTTTTTTTTTCGTAAGTTTTTTTTTTTTTAAATAGTAAAAACATAATATCGAATGTCGTTCGTCTTATTAGTAAAGTTACCAAGTTGTTTCAGATCACTTTGAAGCTGAAAGCGCAGGCTCTCGACTTCCTTCTTTGCACTCGATAGCAACTGTTTGATATTCTGCACACAAAAAAATATAATAAAAATAAAAATAAAAATAAATTATAGAAATATTAGTAGAAACCGAAGAACGAAAGGGAAAAAAAACAAACTTACGATAAGTTCGGTTTCTTGCTGTTCGACTAGATTCCAGTGATTACAGCTACCCTTCTTTAAGCAAGCTCTGCAACACTATTGACAGAATAATTCATCTATTACACATAAATTGAATATAAAACATAAATTGTCGACTTGTTAATTTTTATAGTTACCAAACAATTATAAACAAGAATCGAGTGCAGTAATAAATACCTTGCGGTTTTCTAGATTCAACAAGTCGGTTAGTGGCAAAAATGTGGAACGCACAGGTGAGCAGCTTCTCTCTCTTAAATTCTCCAATATACTCAGTTTCATCTGTTTGTCGATACAAGAATCCGAAGCTATTAAATCTTATATAATAAATAAAAAAAACACGAAAAGTACAAGAAAATATTCATCGATTCATATGAGCTTCAAAACGATACATTAGGACATAACACTCGATTTCGAATCTAATAACTTAGTAACGTCGATGATTAACGACTCACCTCGGGAAATTTTCTTCTAAATTGTTCCTCGAAGCAACTCGATAGAATCTTGCTAAAAATATTCACCGAGTCCTAAAAAACGGAAAATAGATACGTGAGCAAAACTCGTGAATTTCTGATTGTTTGTCCGAAATAAAAATCAAAGTCAACCCTGCATACCATTCTTCCACTATGATAAGAAGCAACTAGGTTATTGTCCAAGTTTTCCTTCGTCTCAACCATATGTTCAGCAAGTGCCTTCACTATTTTATCTGCAGTATTATCGAAAAAAAAATCATAATTCAAGAAAACGACATTTTTACTGTTTTTGAGCAGATATTAAGTAAGAAATTAATAACGAAGCTCGTTTAAACGACCTTCTAATTTCCTTATATCATTCGCCGATGGCATTTCTTTGTTTCTCTCTCCCGATAAGTCTAATTTCCTCGAAGTGTCACGAGATACCAATAATGGAGTACGAGCGTGAATTCTTCCAGCTGAATTTACAATAGGCGATCTCGGTGGTTTATAAACCCCGTTGCCACCTGTCATTTGCTTCCATTCATGGAAAGCCTTTAGTGCCAAAATGCAATCGACAACCTTAGTCGACGACCCCACCTCCAAATTTTCCTGAATATTTAATTCAGTTAAAAACAAATAATTGCCGATTAAATTTGGGTAGTGTAGTAAGACGATGTGGTTGGTTTATTTTCTTACCCTTTCGAAAACCGAAGCGTCGAAAATAGGAAGCTTCATATCTTCGGCTGCCATTAGAAAGTTCCGAAGATTCTCGAAGTACTGATAAGCTGGCAATGGCTGGGAATCCCATGGAAGTGACGGCGAAAGTAAAGTGTTTTCGATTACCTAATAAAAAAAAAATGACACGATCAAAAAAATCGATTTTTTTTTTAAAATGGTTCGATATAAGCTTGGACAGTATATACCTTTGGAACCGAACCGGGTTGAACTTTGTTTATTACGTTGCAAAGAACTAGCCCGTTTCTCAAGCAAGAAATGAACTCTTTCTCCGACGGTTGGCTCTGTATTCCGAGCGGGCCCACAAGGTAATCGAGCCAATGTACAGCTTGATACCGTCTAAGCGCTGCGATGAATTCAATAAGAGAACGATCCGAAAAAAGTAACGAACACGGAAAAAAACTAAGTCAGCCCCTCTAGATTAAATCACACACTTGCTGAATCAAGAAAACAAGAATCAAAATCCACAAACCCAAAATTGAAAAAAATAAATCTAAATTAAAAACAAAAAAAACAAAAAAAAAAACGAAACCCCTCATAAATTGCCCTGAATTTCAACATCAAGATCAACAGATTAACAGTATCCGGTAAACAATTAACATTTTTTTTTCCAACATGCATGCATCGTTTCTCGTGTAACGAACAATACAGACAACAAAAAAAAAATAACAAAATTAACAAAATAAAAAAAAATTAAAAAAAACATACATGCTTCTTCAGCTCTTCTAGAAGCGAAGTTCATCTCCCCCACAGTGCCTCTTCTCGTTAAATCCTCCATTAAAACCTGCAATAAATCACCATTAACAATTTTTTTTTTAAATACGAAACCCATAATCACTTTCTTCACACTATTATTCTAATCACACACAGAACATTACGTTACATATAAAAAGCACATATTTAATTAATTTATCAAAGAAAGAAATTAATCCAAGAACATACTGATTAAGATTTATTTCCACAACTGGGCGGGATTACATAGAAATAATGCAAAAACCCTAAATTTTTAAGAGAGAGAAAATCAAGACAGAAATGGGTCTGCAATCAAAGCTGTGAAATGCGAATTGAATCTCTCTCAGTTGAGGTGAAGAAAATCAAGACTGAAATTGTTTATGTGTTAATTTATTAATTGATTAATTAATTAATAAACCTTCCTTTTTTACTTTCTGTAAGGAAATAAGTAGGTTCGGAGTATCCGAACCTGAGGCTCCGGAATCGTAACGTTACTTCTATCAAATTTGAATTTAAGTTGGTGGGGGTGCATGATTTGATCTGGACCGTCCGTTTTCTGAGCTTGGAGATTTATAAGCTCCGCTTTGGGCTTTGTGTTGGGCTTGGGATTCGGGCCTTTTCTTGAATATTCCATATTTAAATTTGTTAGCATTTTTTTATAAGATTTGTTTCCCTTAAAACATATAATAATCAATGATTGAAAATTGCAAATTGCAAAATTTCAGCCTAATTGAATTAGTGATTTCTTTACTTTGTCAACCTTCTAAATTTGTTTTGTTGAAACAAGTGAGACTCACAAGTCAAAATTACTATAAGTGTTTCAAATTAGAAAAAAAATATCAATTTGAATGTTATGATTTCCAAAGACCATTCACTCGAGTCTTATTTATACGGGAAGATCACAGTAGAGGCGGTGAAGATACAGATAAACGACCTAAAGTTTACTAAAATCCCAAATTCTTGTATCGTGTGAGATTAGGGACTGTTTGGTGAATGTGTTCTTGAATCATTGTTTCCCTATGTGGGTTTCTGCGTGAATCGGGGATTGTGTGAGAGTGACATAGAAGATTGGTTCTTCTGTGCTACTCTGGTGGTGTTGGTCGTTCCGTTGTGGAATCTTTCTGTGAATATTGAATTGGAAGATCGTACTGTAATATAAACGATAAGATCTGACTTTCTGTTTTAATTCAATAATTCTTAAGACTCTCTAATAATCAATATTAGTAAGCTTAAGAGGGTGTTTGGCTAATCTTATAAGATGTTAAAATGAGCTTATAAGATGTTATAAAGCTCTTTCAAAGGGTTTGGTAATTTTTTTTTAAAATGATCTTATTTTTTTTTTTAAATAAGCTGTTGGAGAGCAAATAATATATTTTTAAATAAGTACATCTACCCCATTTTTTTATTTAAGATCTTATAATGTGTAAAAATAGGAAATAAACTTATTATCCAAACACTCTAAAAATTAATCATAAAAATAAGATGTAACTGCTTATCAGCTCTTAAAACATCTTATCAGACGTAAGAACTTATCAGATGTTTAAAATAAGCATAGCCAAACACCCTCTAAGTCTTATTTCATTATGTAATCCTTAAATGAATGCCCAACAAATCACCTTATAAATGACACTACTAACACAAGCATCCAAAGAGATTCATATACTTTGTATAAAATTGATGAAAATTAAATAGTATTAAGGATAAATTAGTTTGCATTAATCCTAAGAGAGGAGTTTCGTATGAAAGATGCTAATACTAAACTTTCCAAAGAGAGATTAGCACCAATTCACTAGAGGACTATATAAATGTGGTAATTAGTTCCACAAATTCAATTTCTTTCCTTTCCAAAATTGGTAATTATAATCTATTTTGGACATTTGGATATGAAAGTTCACAAAATAAAGTGCTGCAACTATTTATAGATAGCAAACCTCCATATATATAAATGTGTGTATATACATATATGCATTAATTGATATTACTATCAAATATTGCACATACGTGATGTAACTTTTCATGTAATTATACTTGGATGACATGATTTTTGTGAAAGTTGGCATTTAAAGGTTGGTAATTTTGAAAGTCTGTTTTGAGTGTGTAAAGACTCCGGGCCCATCTGAATTTATATGGAATGAACCGATCGAAAAAATATTACTTCATCCGTTACATAATATCTGTTATTTTTAAAAGATTTTTTTTTGTTTTATAGTATCTGTCGTTTTAGAAATCCAATACTGCATTAGTATATATTTTTTTCAATTTTACCCTCATTAACTCTATTCAATATTCTCTCTTATTACTTAAAGGCAAGGGCATTTTAGTCTAAACATACATTTTTTCTAAAATCAAGCCACGTTTAATGATATTCTCAATCCATGTCCGAAGCTAAAAAACAACAATTATGAAGGAACGGATAGGACCCGCGATTGAGCCGGGCCTAACCGAAGTCCGATGGTTCGGCCCAATTATATTTGAGTCGGGCTTAATTTTAGTGACTCGGGCTATATATATATATATATATATATATATATATATATATATATATATATATATATATATATATATATATATATATATATATATATATATATATATACTTGTGATTTAATTCGAAGCTCGAATACCTATATTAAAACATTATATGCTCTCCATGTAAAATCATCCACTTAATGAGAATTCCATTATATCAATCATTACACCATTATTTGTAATATTATCAAATTTACAATTGTCCTAACAAGAGATTCAATTTAATTGAAAAAAATAAAATTATTTTTACCCATTCAATTTTGATGAAAAATATAATGTAGGGACAATGTTCCACATACTTTACAAAAAGGGTGTAATTTTTTTTTTTTTTAAATTGTTGTGACAATATATATGATGTAAATTATCAAATATAGTATTACATATTTCCTTCCAAATAATTTCACTTTTGCATTCATAAGTCATTACATCCTAAGAAAGGTAATGTTATATACACAAAGGATTCTTTACATGTAATATCAAACATAGTAAGACTCTCTCCCAAATGGCAATGTACAAAATTAGGGTTGTTCAAAACCCATTGTTAATTTCGTTTCCATTTTTATATTTCTACTTTATATTTAGACCTCATTTATATCTATTTCACTTATAAAATCATATGAAATTGTGAATTTGTTAGGGGAGAAAAACCATAACATTCATTCTTATCTTTTCTCTAATGATTGGCTAATTATATTGATGTTTGTATTACATATATACATAATCGTACCAAGAAAATATATTCGAGAGTAATGAAAATTTAATTCAGCAGACGCCCACAAATTAAATTTTTTTCGTCCAAATTAAACCCCCCTATGGACCTCACACGTGTTGAGCGCACACGTATCGGTTATTAGTCCTATTCACACGTGCGATTGTTATTTCTCTTTTCCAAACAAACGTAGAAAATCTCCGCTCGTGATTCGAACAATTATAACAATATAGCGATTCCATAACGATTTTCACTTACCTTTTTTTCAACAATAGAATTTTTCGAAATTATATTCGTGAAATTTAGTCGTAAAATAATTGCTCGAAATAAAATCCCTACCAAATAAATTGTTTCATTAGGTGGAAATTGCCACCACCACAAGCAAATTCACATTACCACATGAGGTAAAACTTCTACACTTAGTAAATCAATCACTCCCTTTTCCATATTTTCCTTCCAATTTTGCCCTCAATAATACACCATGAAATTCTTGAAATACATCATAGATAGTAAGTCTTAAACCAAGAGGCAATTCCCAATTACCAAATATATTTAAATTCTTTATTTTTTATTATTTAATTTTTTTTGGGCCCAAAATCCCATAAATAATATTTCGTTACATTTTTTTCTATCTCCATATTTAGGGTAAATGCATTGATAATCTTTGTACCCCACTCTTCTATATATATAGATACATATTTCACCACCAGAAACAAATAGTAAGGTTCTTCAGATTATTTTGTCTTAGGCAGTAAAAAAAAAAAGAAAAAGAAAAAAAAAATCAAGAACCATGGGGAGGGGTAAAATAGAGATAAAAAAGATCGAAAACGTTAACAGCCGTCAGGTAACGTTCTCGAAACGGCGCGGTGGATTGCTGAAGAAGGCTAGGGAGTTGTCCATCTTGTGCGATGCTCAGGTCGCCGTCATAATCTTTTCCGGCACCGGAAAACTTTACGAGTTCGCCAGTTCCCGGTAAAATTAATTTTTGGTGCTTTAATATATTTTTTAATTATTTATTTTATATATCTAAGTACTGTTTCGGCAAGGTGAAAAGATTCTTGC